GGTTGGTAGGCATGAGGATCGGAATAGGGTGTGAAAAGTTGAAAAAGAGTTTTTGAAAAATGTTTTCCCTTCTCTTGATAGGGAAAACATTTTCCTCCAATTGGAGGAAAATAATTGGAGGAAAATGAGTTTATGAGGAAAATGTTTTCCAAAACATTTAAGTCAACCAAACATGGGAAAATTGTAAAACATTTTCCAAAAAATATTTTCCTTCATACCAAACACACCCTAAGTATATCAACTTTTCCTGGGTGCATCTAAATCTAATAAGTTAATTAAGAGGGTATTTGGATGGGCTTAAAAGCTAGTTTGGTAAAAAAGTGCATCTAAAACACTTTTTTATTTTATGGAGTGTTTGTAAAAAAAAATGCTTAAAAAAAGGTAAAATGTGCTTAAAAAAGTCAAAAGCAACAAGTTGGCTGACCCCAACTTTTCCGATTTCGGCTTAAAAGCCATTTTGGTTTGACTAATAAAATTACTTTCTTGTCTATTATAAGTTTTCATAATACCAAAATTATCCTAAATCACAGAAACACTTCTCCTATTTTCTTCACTTCTGAAGACAGCCGTTCCTCTTCTTTCCTCTTCCTCTATGCTTCATCTTCATTTTCTGCAGTTTTCCACAAGCATCACGCCCAATTGTATTCACGCAAAGCCAATTTTAAATACATACTTTGATTTCTCTAAATCTTAGGCTTATCCCTACACTGAGAGGAAGATGTTTAATGAAATTAGTTCATATTAGAAAAGTTGTGCTTCTACTAGTGCACATATATACTAGCAATATGTTTCTGGAAGTACAATTCTTTTAAAACTTGAAACTTTCTTCGAAAACTTGATGGTTTGTTCTAATAAGTTCTCTGATCTCTTTACTCTTTGTGAATCTTCTCCAGAATTTGTTAGGAGTACCATCGCGTGCAACTCAATAAACTAATAATTTCTCTATAATATCTTTAATTTGTAAAGAGTAAATGGACAAAAGGCAAAAAGCAATTCAACAAAATAATTTGGTATTTCAAATAGGTTGAGACTTTTATGGAAGTTTACTTGATTGAAAGTAGTGAAAAATAAGCATTCAAGAATTACATTTTATAAAAATTATCTAAAGTAATCAATTAAATTAAAATATAAATTATTTTTTATTTGCATTAATTCATAATTAAATATATTGTAGTAATCAGCTTCTTTTAATGCTAACAACTTTAAGGATATTTTTGTCTTTTTAATAAAAAAAAAGGGCTTACCAACATTTATTTACCAAACACTTCAACAACTTTTTTAAGCTTCAGCACTTTATCCAAACAGGTAATTGCTTATTTATAAAACAAGTTCCAGCACTTAAAAGTTGCTTTTAAGCACTTGTGTTTAAAAGTCACTTTTTTAAGCCAATCCAAACGGGCTCTAAGTATGATTACCTGGCAGTAATGTACAAGCACCTTTTACTACACAGTACTCTTTGGGTGGTTTGGTAGGAGGTATTAGAAAAAATAATGCAAACATTAGCTCTATGCATTATTAATACCTTGTTTGATACATTTTTTCAACCTGTGTATAACTAACATCATACTTGGTATTATCCTATGTATAAGTAATGCATAGAAAATCATGACATTAGTAATACCAAGGCTATTAATGCATGTATTAGTATGGTTAAAGACATAATTGTCTTTAAAGTCCTTTTAAAGCTAGAGAATATGGAAGATATTTTTGTAAACAACTATTTTTCTCAAAAATTATGCAATACATTATAATTCTAATACACCACACCAAACAATAGATAAGAAATAATATCTGCATAACTAATACTTGCATTACTAACTCATACATTACTAATCCATGCATTACTAATACACACTATTCCGTATTATTCTTATGCACCTTACCAAACGACACCTTGTATATTGTACGTTCTGAATTATTGTTGGAAAATATGAAAGGGTGTCTTTAAGCCTCAAAACTTTTCTCAAGGAAAGGATAAGCCATCACTACCCGAATTGCTATCATAGGGGGTGGCTAATTGTCTTTCTCAACGTTAATGTTCTGTTTCCCATAGCAATCAGCTAATTTAAGGGTTCACACCTTCATTAAAGATGGTCCCCATATGACATGAAAAGTAATTTTGAATGCTTTGTTTCTTCAGCTGCTTCCAGCTGTTCTAATTTAACCTCTTTAACTGCCAAACAGCCCATAACAACATATTATTACGAACGATGCAACAGTTTTAGGCTTTTATCAATTGGGCTTCTTACGTACGTAATGGTTCGTGGGTCATAAACTCATAATAGCAAAGAAGAGTGTAAAAATAGCACGGTCTAGCCAGTTTTCAGATTGGTCATTCAAAAATAGCCAGCTTTTACCAAATCGATGAAAAATAGCCATTTTTTGTTGCAATAGAGACCGGTCCAATATAATATACTGGAGTTCGGTGCACATGTGTATGAACTTCTAGCATATTATGCTAGACCGGTATACTTTGTTGGCTCTAGCATAAGCATCGGTGCTCTAAACTCCAGTATATTATGCCGGATCGGTATATTAGACTGGAGTTCCAGTACAAGTATATTATGCTGGAGTAATTTTTCGGATTTTGAACAGTGTTTTCGTTCATATTTATCTTCACATAAAAAGTGGCTAAATTTCGATTAGTTTTGAAACCGGACTATTTTTAAACGACCACTTATAAATCTGACTATTTTTGAATTTCTCCCTAAAGTATTTAATTTCAAAAATTATCTTTCTTTTGTGATGCTTTCTCCTTTGCCTACTATAAAAGACACAGGCCACATGTTTGGAAAATGAAGTACCACGTAGTTGATTCCAAATTGCTATATTCGCTTCATGTGTGAGTGCCAGTTTTACTATTTAATACATATTAAAATTCTTTAGCCACTTAAGAAAGTAAGAATCCTAGCTCAATTTTCTGATGTGTGCTGCCATATGTCCATTTTTTTGCTCTCGAATCTCACCTCTTTTAGACTTGTTTAGTTTTGCAGAAATTAAAGTAAATATATAGCAACAATAATATTCCAAGTTCGGGTATATATTCTTAACTAAAGAGAGAAATCTAGATACTTACAAGTTATTACTGATAAACAAATCTTACTTATTTGAAAAATGTGGGGTTAAGATTCCTAACTTTTGGAATACCTGCTCATTTAAATTAACTAATCTTAAGATGCACGCTATCCTATATCAATAAAATATATTACTTTTTAAAAATATTACTAAAAAAATTAAGAAATAATGTGTTGGACTTTAAAAATAAAATTAACAAAAAATGTATATGTTCTTGAAATGTTGACTACTAAATATTTTATTAGATGGCTCAATGAAAAAAAATTCTTTTCAAGTTCTTAGATTCGTTATTGTAGTTTCTTAGGACTTCTATAGAAATATCTTCTAAAAAATATTGTTATTTCTATGATCTAATACAAAAATAAACCAAAAAAATATAAGTACTATTACCAACAAAGATTTGTCAAATAAAATAAATTTTAAAA